TCTGGTTTAAATTTGAGTCCTAAACCTAACATAACCTACCCCTAACCTTAACGTAAACCTAACCTCACCGAAATTGCAGGTAATTGTAACCTATGTGGATTAAACTGATTTACGATCAAGTTTTAATGTGAGAAAAGGAAAATTCTGGAGTCTCCTGGTTAAATTTGAGTCTAACCTTAACCTAACCTATAGTAACCTAACGCTAACCTCACCATATTGCAGGTAATACTATCGTGGAAATTTAAATACGATCAAGTTTATGTGAGAAAACGAAATTTGGAGTCTCCAGGTTAAATTTGAGTCTACCTCTAACCTAAATCTAACCTAACCTAAAAAACCTAACTTAACCGTAACGTAACCCCAACCTCACCAAATTCAGGTCTAATGTAACTATCGTGGATTAAACTGATTTACGATCAAGTTTGGAGAAAACGAAATTGGAGTCTCCTGGTTAAATTTGAGTCTAAACCTAACCCTAAGCTAACCTAACGTAACCTAACCACATCCAAAATTGCAGGTAATGTAAACGCTATCGTGGAATTGAACTGATTTACTATCAAGTTTATGTGAGAAAACGAAATTTTGGAGTCTCCTGGTTAAATTTGAGTCTAACCTAACCTAACCTAACCTAACGTAACCTAACCTAACCTCACAAATTGCAGGTAATGTAACCTATCGTGGATTAAACTGATTTACGATCAAGTTTATGTGAGAAAACGAAATTTGGAGTCTCCTGGTTAATTTTGACTCTAACCTAACCTAACCTAACCTAACCAACCTACGTAACCTAACCTAACCTAATCCCCAAATTGCAGGTAATGTAACCTATCGTGATTAGAGTGATTTACGATCAAGTTTATGTGAGAAACAAAATTTGAGTCTCCTGGTTAATTTGAGTCTAACCTAACCTAACCTAAACCTAACCTAACCTCACCAAATTGCAGGTAATGTAACCTATCGTGGATTAAACTGATTTACGATCAAGTTTATGTGAGAAAACAAATTGGAGTCTCCTGGTTAAATTTGAGTCTAACCCTAACCTAACCTAACTAACCTAACCTAACGTAACGTAACCTAACCTAACCTCACCAAAATTGCAGGTAATGTAACCTATCGTGGATTAAACTGATTTACGATCAAGTTTATGTGAGAAAACGAAATTTGGAGTCTCCTGGTTAAATTTGAGTCTAACCTAACCTAACTAACCTAACGTAACCTAACCTACCAAATTGCAGGTAATGTAACCTATCGTGATTAAACTGATTTACGATCAAGTTTATGTGAGAGAAAACGAAATTTGGAGTCTCCTGGTTAAATTTGAGTCTAACTAACCTAACCTAACCAACCTAACCTAACCTAACCTAACCTAACCTACCAAAATTGCAGGTAATGTAACCTATCGTGGATTAAACTGATTTACGAAAAGTTTATGTGAGAAAACGAAATTTGGAGTCTCCTGGTAAATTTGAGTCTAACCTAACCTAACCTAATAACCTAACCTAACCTAACCTAACCCAACCAAAATTGCAGGTAATGTAACCTATCGTGGATTAAACTGATTTACGATCAAGTTTATGTGAGAAAACGAAATTTGGAGTCTCCTGGTTAAATTTGAGCTAAACCTAACCTAACCTAACCTAACCTAACCTAACCTAAACTAACCTAACCTCCCAAATTGCAGGTAATGTAACCTATCGTGGATTAAAAAATTTACGATCAAGTTTATGTGAGAAAACGAAATTTGGAGTCTCCTGGTTAAATTTGAGCCTAACCTACCTAACCTAACCTAACCTAACCTAACCTAACCTAACCTAACCTAAAAATTGCAGGTAATGTAACCTATCGTGGATTAAAGTGATTTACGATCAAGTTTATGTGAGAAAACGAAATTTGGAGTCTCCTGGTTAAATTTGAGCCTAACCTAACCTAACCTAACCTAACGTAACCTAACCTCCCCAAATTGCAGGTAATGTAACCTATCGTGGATTAAACTGATTTACGATCAAGTTTATGTGAGAAAACGAAATTTGGAGTCTCCTGGTTAAATTTGAGTCTAAACTAACTAACTATAACTAACCTAACCTAACCTAACCTAACCTCCCAAATTGCAGGTAATGTAACCTATCGTGGATTAAACTGATTTACGATCAAGTTTATGTGAGAAAACGAAATTTGGAGTCTCCTGGTTAAATTTGAGCTAACCTAACCTAACCTAACCTAAACCTAACGTAACGTAACCTAACCTAACCTCCCAAATTGCAGGTAATGTAACCTATCGTGGATTAAAGTGATTTACGATCAAGTTTATGTGAGAAAACGAAATTTGGAGTCTCCTGGTTAAATTTGAGTCTAACCTAACCTAACCTAACCTAACCTAACCTAACCTAACCTAACCTACCAAATTGCAGGTATGTAACCTATCGTGGATTAAACTGATTTACGATCAAGTTTATGTGAAAACGAAATTTGGAGTCCCTGGTTAAATTTGAACCTAACCTAACCTAACTAACCTAACCTAACCTAACCTCACCAAATTGCAGTAATGTAACCTATCGTGGATTAAACTGATTTACGATCAAGTTTATGTGAGAAAACGAAATTTGGAGTCTCCTGGTTAAATTTGAGCTAACCTAACCTAACCTAACCTAACCTAACGTAACGTAACCTAACTAACCTCACCAAATTGCAGGTAATGTAACCTATCGTGGATTAAACTGATTTACGATCAAGTTTATGTGAGAAAACGAAATTTGGAGTCTCCTGGTTAAATTTGAGTCCTAACCCCTAACCTAACCTAACCTAACCTAACGTAACCTAACCTAACCTCACCAAATTGCAGGTAATGTAACCTATCGTGGATTAAACTGATTTACGATCAAGTTTATGTGAGAAAACGAAATTTGGAGTCTCCTGGTTAAATTTGAGCCTAACCTAACCTAACCTAACCTAACCTAACCTAACGTAACCTAACCTCACCAAATTGCAGGTAATGTAACCTATCGTGGATTAAACTGATTTACGATCAAGTTTATGTGAGAAAACGAAATTTGGAGTCTCCTGGTTAAATTTGAGTCTAACCTAACCTAACCTAACCTAACCTAACTAACCTAACCTAACCTCCCCAAATTGCAGGTAATGTAACCTATCGTGGATTAAACTGATTTACGATCAAGTTTATGTGAGAAAACGAAAATTTGGAGTCTCCTGGTTAAATTTGAGTCTAACCTAACCTAACCTAAACCTCACCAAATTGCAGGTAATGTAACCTATCGTGGATTAAACTGATTTACGATCAAGTTTATGTGAGAAAACGAAATTTGGAGTCTCCTGGTTAAATTTGAGTCTAACCTAACTAACTAAACCTAAACGTAACCTAACCTAACCTAACCTCACCAAATTGCAGGTAATGTAACCTATCGTGGATTAAACTGATTTACGATCAAGTTTATGTGAGAAAACGAAATTTGGAGTCTCCTGGTTAAATTTGAGTCTAACCTACCTAACCTAACCTAACCTAACCTAACCTAACCTAACCTAAACAAAAGGTAATGTAACCTATCGTGGATTAAATGATTTACGATCAAGTTTATGTGAGAAAACGAAATTTGACAAAATTTGGAGTCTAACCTAAACCTAACCTAACCTAACCTAACTAACCTAACCTAACCTCACCAAATTGCAGGTAATGTAACCTATCGTGGATTAAACTGATTTACGATCAAGTTTATGTGAGAAAACGAAATTGGAGTCTCCTGGTTAAATTTGAGTCTAACCTAACCTAACCTAACCTAACCTAACCTAACCTAACCTAACCTCACCAAATTGCAGGTAATGTAACCTATCGTGGATTAAACTGATTTACGATCAAGTTTATGTGAGAAAACGAAATTTGGAGTCTCCTGGTTAAATTTGAGCTAACCTAACCTAACCTAACCTAACCTAACCTAACGTAACCTAACCTAACTCCCAAATTGCAGGTAATGTAACCTATCGTGGATTAAACTGATTTACGATCAAGTTTATGTGAGAAAACGAAATTTGGAGTCTCCTGGTTAAATTTGAGCTAACTAACCCTAACCTAACCTAACCTAACCTAACCTAACCTAACCTAACCTCCCAAATTGCAGGTAATGTAACCTATCGTGGATTAAACTGATTTACGATCAAGTTTATGTGAGAAAACGAAATTTGGAGTCTCCTGGTTAAATTTGAGTCTAACCTAACCTAACCTAACCTAACCTAACCTAACCTAACCTAACCTCACCAAATTGCATAATGTAACCTATCGTGGATTAAACTGATTTACGATCAAGTTTATGTGAGAAAACGAAATTTGGAGTCTCCTGGTTAAATTTGAGCTAACCTAACCTAAACCTAACCTAACCTAACCTAGGTGCTGGTAAAAATTCGGACCTATTATTTTTACCTCTTACAATTTTTGTCTGTTATTCTAAATACGTTGCATATCCAATAAACCACTCTATGTATAAGTTATTCACTTTGATAATTAGGATTGAGTCGAGAATGAAACCCTTCCTCTCCAAAATAGTATAATTATAACTTATGATGTTCAATGCTTTGTTAATGTTATTATGTATTCCTACGACGATACCGAATTCTATTTCGGTGGCGATAATGATAATATTGTGGAACAGATGGAAGATCGCGATATAATATGAAAGTAAGAGTGTAATGAGGTCTTGGAGAATTAAGG